GGGGACGGCGCGGGCGGCCCGGAGGGGAACCCGCTTAATCACCCAGGAAGGGCCGGGGCCGTCCCGGATCACCCCCCACCGGCCCAACAAGGGCCTTGGACGCCGCCCACAGCCCAGGCTGGATGGTCGGCCTGCGGCCCTCCCCTCACACCCCGGGGCCCACCGCAGACATGAAGGGACGGAGCAAGGCGCTCATCCTCGGGGCGCAAACCATCTGGGAAAGGGGGCAAGTGACTGTTCTGCCTTGAAGGGCTGTGGGGAGGCCCAAGGGACAGTGTCCACACAGGACCAGCAAGGGGCCTGGGCGTGGAATCACTGGCTCTTGTCCCTGAAGAGGACCCGGGCAGAAATGTCTCCACCACACCACTGGAGTGAGCGCATCCTCCTCCCACCTTTCTCTGCCTGCTGCACGCACACACACACACACACGGATGAGAATATGGGTACACGTGCACACACACACGAGAATATGGGCACACACATACACACACACAAGAATATGGGTACACACACACGCCTGCACCTATGACACACGCACATGCACACACACGAGAATACAGGTACACACACAGACTCTGCACCCATAACACACAGGAGAACACAGGTACATGCATGCACACGCCTGCACCTGTGACCCACGCGCACACACCAGGGCACGCACACCTCCGCAGACTCTGCCACCCCCAAGTCCGTCGTTGGCCTTCCACAGCCAGGTTTCTCGTGGATGAAGAGACAGCCTGGGCTCTTCCTTCCAGCCCCAGTCCTCTGGTCCCATAACACGCAGAGGTGCAAGCTGGAGGTCATGAGGCACCCTGGTCCCCAGGTGCCAGACCCTGGGAGTCCAGCTGTGCTCACCAGGAGATAGCCCACCCCCAGGGGCACAAGCCTGGGAGAAAGCTGAGGGGCCTCCATTCCTGAATTTGTCTTCCATCTACAAAGTGAGAATGTGAGTCCGCCCAGCCATTCTGGAAGGTTCCAGCTAAGGAGTAAAGGCAGAGACTTTGGCAGGGAGCCAGGGTAAGATGAGCAGCGGAAGAGCTGATTGTGGTCACTCCTGGGTGATCCAGCTGTTGGCCAGACCCATGGTGAGCTCCCCACCTGCACCCTCCCCCCCTCGCCCTGGAGCCCAGGCATCACCGTGACCCCCAAAGGCTCCCTCGAAAGTGCTCCAAGCCCAACTGTGCCTGGGTGGTAAGCACCCGTTTCCACCTCCATCCACAGAGAGACCTGCCAGCCAGTGACCTGGCCGGGTGTCTAGCGAGTCTGCAGAGTAAGTAGACTCTCAGGTAATGTTCAGCCCTGGGCTCATCTGCTCTGTGCAGAGCTTTGTTTGACGACCTCTTCAAACCCATGTGGGAATTTAGATCATAGGAGCCTGACCTGGAGTCATTAATCAAACAGCACCCCGGGTGTGTGGAGACCGGATAAGGGCTTCCAGAACATTGCAGAATATCCCCAGGGGCCTTCACAAGCACCTCCCACCTCTCTGCTGGGAGAACCCACCTGCACACGGAGTGAGGGTCCTGGGGGAAGTGGCTGAGCGCAGGGAGGGAGGAGAGGCTGATTTCTCAGCTTCTCACTTATCTGGGAGGTCGACGTCTCCTGGAGGGCGTCCTGGGTGGCCAGAGGCAGGGGCGCACGCTGGACGGGAGTGACCCGTCCTCAGCCTCCCATCCCGCAGGCCCTGACCCGGCAGTGGGGACAAGGTGGCCTTAGCCTCAGATAAACGTCTCTGTGAGCACACAGTCAACACTGCCTGGGTCACGTGACTTCCACGCCCGGAGACTCTCCAGGGTCACGGAGTCCTCCCCTTCCTGTTCAGACGTCCCCGGGCCTCTGGAGTTGGGGAGGCCAAGGTCAGCAAGCCCTTCAGGAGAGAAAGTGAACAGTCCCCTTCCCTGGACGGGGTCCAGCCGGCCCAGAACGGTCTTGTCCCGGGTGAGGTCTACCTGACGCAGATGCGGGGGACCTACGATGGACCCTCACCCACCAGGGGGAGGTAATGAGGTGGCAGCAAGTGGCCTGCACCCGCAGTGTCCCATGGGGTGGGCGCAGGGACCCCAACTCAAGGAGGAAACACCCCAAGTCACCCCCCCCCACTAGCAGTGAGGGTGGGCTCCTCCCCAGCCCCCGGGAGCCTCCCACATCCCTCTGTTCCCGACCCTTCTCCAGGGACGTCCTGGATTACAGGAGCCGCCCCAGAGCCCAGGGATTTACATCCTCCCAGGCCACCCTTCACCAGGGACTGACCCCGGGAGGGATGAAAGACGAGTTCCCCTGCTGGGGGTCAGGACAAGTTCAAAGGTCACATAGCGCTCACATCGCCCCTTGAGATCATGGTGAGTTCAAGACTGTGCCTTAAGTTGAAGCTCCCCCTAGCTTTTCCCTCCCTCCTCCAGCCTCCCGCCCACCCCCTCCTCCCTCCCGGATCCCCAGGGTGCCTGCACCACCTCCCATACAGGACCCGTGCCTCAGTGAGCATCCTGGCCTCGGGAGCTAGAGTTTGCCCCGACTCCAGGGCCCAGCCAGTGGAGGTTCCACCTGGGTCGCTGAGGACAGACTGGGGGACCCAGGTTACTTTCAGGACAGCAAAGGGCCAGAGACTTCCTGCACACCGTGTCCAAGCACTGAAGCAGCAACCAGCAAGTCCTCTCTCATCACCCACTTAACAATAACCAGCAGATGACCCCGGTCCACAGGCAAGGTCCCAGCAGGACCCCTGGGCGGGGTGCCTTCTCCTGGGAAAGGTCTATGGACAAAGTAGACGCACAGCTGTGTCCCTAGCCAGGATCTGCTGTCCCTGGAGGTCATGACCCTGGAACGAGCCCCAAGCATCCCGCTTGCCCTAAACAACCTGTCTCCACATCAGGGTGTCTCAACATTGCTCTGGCCTCAGCTTCCTCCTCCATCAAAGGGGACAACAGCCCCTCCCTCCTGGTCTGCAAGCCAGGCCAGGGGTCAGAGCCCTCCGCAGGAGAGGAAAGCACCTGCTCAAATGTCCTAAAGACCCAGCGGACTCCCCTGACTCAAAGGCGGGGCCCAGTGAGCAAAGCTGAGTCCGGCATCTCACCCAGGTACTTGATTAGTTACTGTCATCACACACCTACCATCCTCTGAAATCCTATATGTATTCACAGAATGTGAGCTCTGACCAGAGCCCCCAGGGCTAAGCACAGTTCCTGCACCTAGAAGGCTCTCAGGAAGGACACCTTCATGGGCCGACGTCAAGAAGCCCAATTAAAGCAGGCCCAAGTTTTATTAGACCAGATTCTGCCCAGATGGTCAAACCACCAGCTACAGCAGGGCTGAGAGTGAGATTCTCCAAAGTATTGGAGTCTTATTGAAAATCATGTTTCATTGTTGCTTCTGGTAAAAGCAAGACATACTTGTTATTACCAAAAAATAAAAAGCAAACATTGCATGCATGTGTGATTTAACAGTTCCATTCAGTTCAGTTCAGTCGCTCAGTCATGTCCGACTCTGCAACCCCAAGAATCGCAGCACACCAGGCCTCCCTGTCCATCACCAACTCCCAGAGTTTACTCAAACTCATGCCCATCGAGTCGGTGATGCCATCCAGTCATCTCATCCTCTGTCGCCCCCTTCTCCTCCTGCCCCCAATCCCTCCCAGCATCGGGATCTTTTCCAATGAGTCAGCTCTTCGAATCAGGCAGCCAAAGTATTGGAGTTTCAGCTTCAGCATCAGTCCTTCCAATGAACACCCAGGACTGATCTCCTTTAGAATGGACTGGTTGGATCTCCTTGCAGTCCAAGGGACTCTCAAGAGTCTTCTTCAACACCACAGTTCAAAAGCATCAATTTTTCAGTGCTCAGCTTTCTTCACAGTCCAACTCTCACATCCATACATGACCACTGGAAAAACCATAGCCGTGACTAGATGGACCTTTGTTGGCAAAGTAATGTCTCTGCTTTTTAATATGCTATCTAGGTTGGTCATAAATTTCCTTCCAAGGAGTAAGCATCTTTAAATTTCATAGCTGTAGTCACCATCTGCAGTGATTACAGAGTGGGTGTCAATTCCTGTTTCTGCCCAGAAGGTGGGGGGGTATGCCAGCCAGAGGCCCCTAAGCTCGAAGGAGACCCTGGAGCTAGCTCCCCAAGAAGGTTTGTGGTTGATCCACTTTTTCCCCTGAGAATACTGCATCCAAAGACCCAGGGGGTGCAGCCGCTGAAATCAACACAACTTGCATTTCAAACCAGGTCTCCACTGCCACGCTCGCTCCTTGCAGACAGGGAGAAAATTAATTTTCTTTCTGCCTGCTCCACAAAGGAAGATTAGAATCCCAAAGAGAGGGATGAGTGGGGAAGAGTGGAAAGCTTCCTCATTGAGGGAGAGCCCTGCGCCGGCCGGGTTTCTCTCTAACAAGGGATGGCCCCGCCATTTGAAATGTCCTCCTGCAAACATAAAGCGGAGCCCAGGAGAACGCACTTGAGAAAAATCACACCGGGGCCCCGCCAGCAGTTGAAAGCTGGTATGTAACTTTGCTCGGGGGTGATCAAACAGCTAGTCAAGGACGCTGTCAGGAACAGAATGAAATTCCAAATAAATTAGCCATGTCCGAGAAGCCAATACAACACCGGATTAAAGCTCACAAAGAAAACACAATTTATTCAGCCTACCTTGTCAGAATTCTTAATAACCTTGGTTCACTTTTCTCACCTCGGGCCCAGAGACCCCGGGCCGGAACGAGACAAAGTGAACCCCTCTTGGATCGTGGGGGCTGCAGAGACCTGCCTGCAAAAGAAGCGATTATGTCTCAGTGAGCCCGGGGTGTTTATAACATTGTGCTTTTACAAACATTTCGGCAGGGACCATCCTGTCACCCGGAGGAGGCAAGCTGTCGCCAAGCCCCAGACGCACAGGCAGCTTGCTCGTGTCTGAATGAGAGTTCATACATTAGAATGAGGGACCAGGGGCCAAAAAGAGGAGTTTCAACCACTGCACGTTAACTCTTTAGGGTTTGGGGAGAAGTAACCTCCAGGCTGCCCACCTCTGCCATGAAGGGTGTTCTGGCAAGGGTTCGGGGGCGGCAGGGGGGCGCTCCAACCCAATCCTTTCATCTTTTACAACAACAAGTAGGTGAAAGGGACCTACAGCCCTTTGTAAATGCAGACTGTCCCCGATGCAACCTGTTAATACAAAACAGTCCTAAAAAACAATACCTTTTTTATCAATGAAACCAGACAGCTTTCACATGCTGACAAATGCACTTTGAAAGAGTTAATAGGCAGAGGTTGGTGGGCCCAGAGGAGGCACCTTTGAAGGCGCTGGGGGAGGCATCTGGGCTGCCCAAGGACCGCACTCAGAGCCGGGGGCCCTTTCTTTTTCACAGAGAGGCGGGCAAAGAGACAGAGCGAGGGGGGATTTGCTTTGCAACACTAAAGCATTTGCAAGAGATAAAACCAGCAGGAATTTTGAGAGGGACTGGGAGGAAGTGATCGGCCGCTAGTCTCAGATGGAATGTCAAGATGCTTGAGAAATACACAAAATGAAGATTTTTCCCAGAAATAAAAAACGGAGCGGGGGGAGGGGGTGGGGGTGCGGGGAGGAGATGACCTAATGGTATTAATTTTTTTTTAAGATAAAAGAAATGTACTGAGCAGAAGAAGGGGAAAAAACTCAGCATTTTCCCAAGCGTGACCCAGCCTAGATTTTCTCTCTCTCAATTTCTAAATTTAAAGGGGGGGAAAAAAAAAAGGAAATGGTGGAGGACAAGGATTGGGGAGGCATGCTGTGCAAAATGATTTTTTTGACATGAGTGTGTGACCCTCAGAAACAGGCTTCATGCTGAGGGGCAGCCGGCTGGGGACTTGGGGACACTCATGGGCTCTCGAGACTGGATTGAGCCACAAGAAAGAGCCCCACTGCCTCCAAGCTGTGACCTCGGGGAGAATCACCTGTCCTCTCAGAAACACCACCCTCTGACAACCACCCGAGGGCTCCTGTTCACACACTTCCTGAGTCTCCATCGTCACCAGTGGGTGACACGTCAGTTATCAGGGACAGTAGCCTGCTCGGGCTGGCTCAGGTGTGTCCCCGGGCTGGGGGCCCAAGTGTATCATTAGGCCATGGGCTAGCCCTGCTGTTTTATCAGGCCATAGACTCGCTCAAGTGTATCCCCTGGCTGTGGACTGGCCTAGGTGTATCCCTAGCCATGAACTAGCCCAGGTGTTCCAACAGGCCATGGGCTGGCTCAGGTGTGTCCCCTGGGATCACGTCTCTAGGTTGTTGGAGTAAAATGACTACTTAAAGTTATATATTCACCCAAAAGCATTTAAATAAAGACGTGCTAGAGCTTCCTCTGGGGAATGTATCTGCGAATGCATGTGCTTGGCTAAAGGGAACACGTATCTTTAACTTTATGATAAAAACGCCGACTCGTTTTCCAAAGTGGTGGCACCGAGTTCCACCTCCAGCAGCCGCTTTATCATGTTTGCCCATCTGATGGATAAGAAACAGTATCTTCCTGCAGGGGACTTTTTGTGTGCGTGCCGTAGTGTGGTTTTGATTTGCACCTTTGTTTTTGTTCTCGTACTGGATTTCCTCCGCTATGAAGTTACAGTTCAGTCTTTTGCTTACAGGGCTGTTTCTCTCTCTGATGAGTTTTCAGGTGCTCTTTGTTGTATTAACCAGGCTTCCCCAGTGGTTCAGCAGTAAAGAATCTGCCTGCAAGGCAGGAGACGAAGGAGACTGGGGTTCTATCTCTGGATCAGGAAGATCCTCTGGAAGAAGGAATGGCAGCCCGCTCCAGTATTCTTGCCTGGAGAATCCCATGCACAGAGAAGCCTGATGGGCTAGTCTACAGGGTCGCAGAGAGTCGGACACGACTGAGGCAGCACGTGATTATATTAACCACTCCTTTTGTTCGTGTGCTGATACTTCAGCATCTAGGAATTCCTGACCCTGGGGGGACTGCCACTCCCAGGGTCAGCCAGTGCCTACAGGGGGCAAACGAATCATCCGTGAGCATGCTTCTCAAATACAAGCCAACCATCCAGAGCCTAAAACTTGACCACCTTCTTTACTGGGCTCCCAGACTCAGGGCTGCCATCCCCTGCACTAATCACCCCAGGACAGGCAACTAGGGACAGCCCCTGTGCCCCAGAGCCACCTGAAATCATCCCACCTGCCCACACTCAGCCTGCTTCCTCGTCTCACATATTCCTTCCAGGGGAACCCACAATAAAGATTCTTGACCGTGTTCTCCCCTCCTGACCAGCAGTGGTCCTTCCCTGGGTGGTAGCTATCTTCTCTTGAGACCTGTGCGTGACAAACCAGCCTTCCAATGGCATCCTTCCACGACTTCCAACAGCAGTCAGCTCCTGGTCAGTTGAGCTTGCCATACCTAAATCATAAAAAACCCTATCTTAAAGCTTACCTTTTGGGGTTTCCCTGGTGTCTCAGTAGTAAAGGATCGCCTGCCAATTCAGGGGATGTGGGTCCGATCCCTGGTCCATGAAGATCCACATGCCACGGGGCAACTAAGCCTCTGCACCCCAACTACTGAGCCTGTGCTCTAGAGCTCACGCGCTGCAACTACTGGAGCCCACGCGCTTAGAGCCTGAGAGTGCGTGAAAGTCGCTCAGTCGTGTCTGACTCTTTGCAACCCCATGGACTGTATAGCCCATGGAATTCTCCAGGCCAGAATACTGGAGTGGGTAGCCTTTCCCTCCTCCAGGGGGTCTTCCCAACCCAGGGATCGAACCCGGGTCTCCCACATTACAGGCGGACTCTTTACCAGCTGAGAGCCCGTGCTCCACTATGGAAGAAGCCAAGGAAGACGCTCCGCACTGCACCTAGAGAGTGGTCCCCACTCGCCGCAACTAGAGACAAGCCTGCCCATCAACTCAGACCCAGCACAGCCAAAAATTACTAAACAAAGTAATTTTTTAAAACCTGACCTTTTCCTCATACGAATTCGTTGCCATTTCTATGCATTGCAGCCTCTCCTCTAAGTTTGCGATTTGTCTTTTTGTGCCTTTTACGGTGTTTTGAGGAACGTAAGTTCTAAAAGTATTGCAGTCAAATTGATCAATTGCACTAAAGGCCCTGAGGGAGAGTGAAGCAAGAAAAGATAAGATAAATGTATGAAGATTGGAAAAGAAGGCGTGATGCTGTCAGTATTCCCCAATTAGGGAGGCAGACGGAGGATCATGAGACATGTCACAGTTGGCTCCTAGAGCTTCTCCCAGGAAGTGACGCGTGATGGGAGAGATGCCCCCTCCCAAGCATGTCCGTGTTTGTGGCCAGCACAGAAGTGATGAGATGGTCACTCCCGCAAAGGGGCAGGTTATGCCGTATAAGGCCGTGGCAGCAGAGACGAGTGAGATGCTCCTGCCAGCTTTGAAGACAGAAGCTGCCACGCTGTGGGGAGTA